GGAAGGAAGGAAGGAAGGAAGGAAGGAAGGAAGGAAGGAAGGAAGGAAGGAAGGAAGGAAGAAAGGAAGGAAGGAATGAAGGGAGGAAAGGAGGGAGGGAGGGAAGGAAGGAAGGAAGGAAGGAAGGGAGGAAGGAAGGAATAAGGAGAATGATGACATAACCCAGGCTCCTGATTTCGGCTGGGTGATGAGCTGGGAAGGAGGAGATGGGCCAGAGGCCTTGGTGAAATGTTTCCCCCCAAGACGCCCCTGCTTCCCGCCCTCACAGCTTGAGCTCATGGGACACAGTATCTTTGACTTCATCCATCCCTGTGACCAAGAGGAGCTTCAGGATGCCCTGACCCCCCGGCACAGTGAGTTCCCTGGAGGCCTCTGTCCCCAAACTACAGAGACTGAGGCTTTGCCTGCCCTCAGCATAGCCCCTCCTCCTCTGGAATATCGGATTGAAAAAAATGGGAAGAGGCTGTGGCTCTGCTCCTGCAGACCCCACCTCGCTGGGTCCAGGTCTGAGTGTGGGGATGAGGCTGGGAGACTTTAGCACCCAGGATGCTGGAGGGAGCTGGGCCCTGTCCAGAGCTGCCCCGTGACCCGCTTCTCCCCTGCCCCCCACGGCCCTCCCCAGGCCTGTCCAAAAGGAAGCCGGAGGCCCCCACGGAGCGGTGCTTCTCCTTGCGCATGAAGAGCACCCTCACCAGCCGCGGGCGCACCCTCAACCTCAAGGCGGCCACCTGGAAGGTGGGCAGGGCCCGGCTGGAGGAGGGCCTGCTGGGGCGAGGCTGAGACCGGAAGTCTTGCCGGGGGTTGGAGCCCAGGGGTGTCCTAGGCCGAGGATGCTGTGGGCTCTCTCAGAGTGGGGCTGCTGGGTCTCTTGGGTATCTAGGAGATTGGGTGTCTGTGGAGTTGGGCTGCTGGGGGCCCCTGTATCTCTTCTTAGCCCAAATCTCTGTGGGCCTGGGGTGTCCCCGACTGATGGGCCTAGAGCAGTGGTTCCCAACCTTTTCTTGGCCATGCCCCACCTAAGCGTCTCTAAAATCCTGATGCCCCCGTCCCCGTGACATATAATTCTTATTATTCAAAAAGTGAGCTCCTATTCCCATGGAGGAAGGCTAAAAGGCACTTAACTTGGTCTAAACAAGTTTCCAAAGAACATGGCATCCATGAAAGAGAAAAATAAAAGAATGAAGGGACAGTTGAAGGAATGAGGAAGAAATCACTAAGAACTTGTGGCTTTTTTGTTTCTTGTTTTTTATTTGTTTTTATTAATTTCAGAGAGGAAGGGAGAGGGAGAGATAGAAACATCAATGATGAGAGGGAATCATTGATTGGCTGCCTTCTGCACATCCCTTACTGGGACTCAAGCCAGCAACCCAGGCATGTGCCCTTGACCGGAATCGACCCCGGGACCCTTCAGTCCGCAGGCTGACGCTCTATCCACTGAGCCAAACCAGCTAGGGCAAGAAACTGTTAAAAAAAAATAATAATATTATGAAGTGATGTGAAAAAATAGCAAATAAAGTTTCAAAACTTATAATAGAGAACTGAAATGCATAAATATGTCACAATAATATTTATATACTATACATGAGGCCCCTAGAACCATAAGAAATGCAAAAAATTCACTGTTAATAACTCATTCTCAAATTGCCCCCCTAAATCAAATTTCCCCCGTGTGGGGCGTGTGCCCCACGTGGGGAACCACTGGCCTAGAGTCTCCCTGAGGTTGATATCTGGGCCCTCAGACCTCCCTGCGTCCTAAAATCTGGAGCTCCTCAGAACCCCCTGAGGTGGGGGTCCCTGTGGGGTTGGGGCTGGGGTCCCCAGACCTCTCTGGGCTGGGACTCCGCAGTCCTCGGGGATTTCTTCTCTGCTCCCCGTGGGGCCCGCAGAGACCTGCCTCCCAGCCCCATGGCTTCCCCAGGCCCCTGCGCATCACGCCTCCCCCTCCGCCTGCAGGTGCTACACTGCTCTGGACACCTGAGGGTCTACAGGCCCCCCGCACAGACGTCCTCAGCCGGGAGCCCCAATTTCGAGCCCCCCCTGCAATGCCTGGTGCTCATCTGTGAAGCCATCCCCCATCCGGACAGCCTGGAGCCCCCGCTGGGCCGGGGGGCCTTCCTCAGCCGCCACAGCCTGGACATGAAGTTCACCTACTGCGATGAGAGGTGGGCAGGAGCCCCCTCCCCGCCGCCCAGCTCCTCTTCTTCCTGTCTGCCCAAGTCACTGAGTTTTCTGTGGGTCTTTTTTTTTTTTAATATATTTTATTGATTTTTTACAGAGAGGAAGGGAGAGGGATAGAGAGCCAGAAACATCGATGAGAGAGAAACATCGATCAGCTGCCTCCTGCACGCCCCCCACTGGGGATGTGCCCGCAACCAAGGTACATGCCCTTGACCGGAGTCGAACCCGGGACCCTTGAGTCCGAAGGCCGATGCTCTATCCACTGAGCCAAACCGGTTCTGGCTTCTGTGGGTCTTTTTATCTTTGATCCTCTCTCTCTCTCTCTCTCTCTCTCTCTCGGTTTCTCCCTCCCTGTCCGTTGCTCTCCCAAAAGGGGTCAATTCGTGTGAAAAAGCTAGGACCGTGCCCAACAGGCAGTAAGCACTCAACAAACTGTCCTTATTCGTTCTCATTCTATCTCTCTCTTTCTCTCTTCCTTTTGCTCTGCATTTCCTTCCTTCCTCCCTTCATTTTTCTGCATCTTCCCTCTTTTCCTCACCTTGGAGTTGTACTCAGAAATGGTGACTCGGGGTTCAGACTGCTTGGGTTTAAATCCTGGCTGTGTGTCCCTGGCCAAATGGTGTCACCTCTCTGTGCCAGACTTTTGTCATCTGCCCTACGGAATGCTAACAGGACCTACTGTGCAGCTGTTCTGAGCACTCAGCGAGTTGCCTGGTACAAAGCACTATAGGAGTGTCTATGTTTTTAAAGTCATGAACATCCTTATTACTTTTTATTTCTATTCATTCTTTTTTTTTAAAATATATATATATTTTATTGATTTTTTATGGAGAGGAAGGGAGAGGGATAGAGAGTTAGAAACATTGATGAGAGAGAAACATCCATCAGCTGCCTCCTGCACACTCCTCACTGGGGATGTGCCCGCAACCAAGGTACATGCCTTTGACCGGGATCCAACCTGGGACCCTTGAGACCACAGGCCAATGCTCTATCCACTGAGCCAAACCGATTAGGGCTTTCTATTCATTCTTTCTCATCTTTCTTTTTGTGACTTTCTTTCTTCCTATTTCTTTCACATTCTTTTTTTCCCTTTTCTTTGCTCTGCTTGTCCCATTTCCACCCTTCCTCCCCCGCCCCCATACTCGTTTCCTGTGGCTGCTGTAACATTACCACAAATGCCGTGTCTCCAAACAACACAAATGCCTTCTCTCGAGTTCTGGAGGCGAGAAGTCTCACATGAGCCTCTTGGGGCTAAAATCAAGGGCCGAGTTCCTACTGGAGCTCCAGGGAGGAGTCTGCCTCCTCGCCTTTTCCTGCTTCTGAGGACGCCCTGCATTCCATCCTCAAAGCACATCACGCCAACCTCTTCCTCCACCATCCCGTCTACACTCACTCTGATCGCCTGCATCCCTCTTAGAAGAGCCCCTGTGACTACATCGGGTCCACCCAGATGATCCCTGGTAACCCCTGCATCTCAAGACCCATACCTGCACCGCACCTGCAAAGGCCCTTGTGCCGTGTGAGCTCACACATTCCCAGGTTCAAAAATGAGGATGGGCAGCCTGCCACACCCCTCTTTCTCTATTCCTTGCTCTCTCCCTTTCTCTGCGTGACAAGCCCGGCTCTGTCTGTCTTGCTGGCTTGGTCCCTGGGTCCCCTGCCCCTTCCCTCAGCCGCTTGAACTGACCAGGCTCCACTGTCCCCGCCCCAGGATTGCTGACGTCGCTGGCTACAGCCCCGATGATCTGATTGGCTGTTCTGCTTACGAGTACATCCACGCGCTGGACTCTGATGCCGTCGGCCAGAGCATCCACACCTGTATGTGTTCGGGTTCTGTTTCCCTGGGCCTGAGCCCGCCAATACCAGCTAGCTCCCTGCTCCCCAAGGAACCCGGTCCTCCCTGGCTCCTCATACCGAACCCCCTGCCCCCAGAGCCTTCTCTCCCCAGTTGCCCGTGCTGTGGCCCTGAGTCCTCCCGTCCCCCTCCCCAGTGCTGAGCAAGGGACAGGCAGTAACCGGGCGGTATCGCTTCCTGGCACGGAGTGGTGGCTACCTGTGGACCCAGACCCAGGCCACAGTGGTGTCAGGGGGCCGGGGCCCCCAGTCTGAGAGTATCGTCTGCGTCCACTTCCTGATCAGGTGAGTGCACCTGGGTCTGGTCTGTGTGTGTGTGAACAGGTGTGTGTGTATGTGTGTGTGTGTGTGTGTGTGTGTGTGTGTGCACAAGTGTGGCTGTATATTGTGTACACATGTGTGAGCGTGTATACACATACATGTACTAGTATATGGAACATGTGCAACTGAACACACACAGAAGTCTGTGTGCATATGAATGTCATAAGTACATATGCCATTCCTTTAAATTAAAAGGACTATATTCAAGTTTAAATAAGAAATCTAGTAGATTCATGGGGACTTGTTTTGCTTTTTTTAAAAAGTGAGGTGTCTTTTACATTTGGAACACTCATTCTTTGGGGTATATGGGTCTATGAGTTTTGACAAATGCATGGAATTGTGTAACCATTACCACAATCATCGCCAAAAAAAAAATTCTCTCATAGTGAACCCCTAATCCCTGGCAACCACTGATCTGTTCTCTGACCCTAGAATTTTGCCTTTCTCAGAATGTCACGTACATGGAATTCTACAATATGTAATCTTTTCAGTCTAATCATTGACGAGAGGGAAGCATCTTTGACTTAGCATAATGTATTTTTAAAATATATTTTCATTGACTTCAGAGAGGAAGGGGGAGGGAGAACGAGAGAGAAACGTCATCAGTCGCCTGCCTCCTGCATGCCCCCGGTGGGGATCGAGCCTGAAACCCGGGCATGTACCCTGACCAGAACTGCAAGTCAAACTGTGACCTCCTGGTTCATAGGCCGATGCTCAACCACTGAGCCACACCCACCAGGCAGCATAATGCATTTAAGATTTATGTTGTGGTGTATATGACTAGTTCCTTTTTAATGCTGACTCGTCATCTGAGGTTTGAACCTGAATGGACCCCAGTCTGTTTATCCATTCACCAGTCGGAGGATACTTGGGCTGTTTCCTATTTTGGGTGACTATGAAAAAAGCTACTGTAAACATTCTCACACAAGACTTTGTGAAACCATATGTTTTCAGTTCCCTTCGGTAAACACCTAGGAGTGGAATGAATGGGTCATGTGGTCAGTGTATATTTAACTTTGTAAGAAACCACCCCACTGTTTTTCCAAAGCGGCTTACCATTTTGCATCCATCCCATCAGCAGTGTAGGAGGGTTTCAGCTGTATCCTCGACAGCATTTTGTATTGGCTCTTTTTGTCTTGTTTGGTTTAATTAATTTTCTTTTAAAATATGAAAATATGCTGAACCGGTTTGGCTCAGTGGATAGAGCGTCGGGCCTGCAGACTAAGGGGTCCCAGGTTCGATTCCGGTCAAGGGCATGTACCTTGGTTGCAGGCACATCCCCAGTGGGGGGCGTGCAGGAGGCAGCTGATCGATCTCTCTCAATGATGTTTCTAACTCTCTATCCTTCTCCCTTCTTCTCTGTAAAAAATCAATAAAATATATTTTAAAAAAATAAAATATGAAAATATGTTTTTATTGATTTGAGAGAAAGAGGAAGGGGGAGGGAGAGAGAAACAGCAATTGGTTGCCTCCCATATGCACCCCGACCAGGGACCTAACCTGAAACCTGAGCATATGCCCTGACTGGGAATCGAACTGGCAAACTTTTAGTGCACAGGACAATGCTCCGCCAACTGAGCCGCCCTGGTCAGAGCTTGTTTGGTTTTAATTTTAGCCATTCTAATGGAAGTGTAATAGTAAACCTTACCCCTCCCCTGTTGTGCATCTTAGAAGTTTTCTACCATAACCACATGGTAACGAAGACAGCACATCCTATATAATAAAAGCCTAATATGCAAATTGTCCCCTCAACTGGGAGTTCGACCAGGGGGCAAAGCCAGCCAGCCAACCGCCCATGGCCCCTCCCTCCTCCCTCCAGCCGGCCCTACCCTGGCCTGTGGCAGCAGGCAGCCAGGGGAAGGGAGGCCCCAGCTGGCAACTGGCAGCCACTACGGACCCTACCCGTGCACAAATTTTGTGCACTGGGCCTCTAGTTAATCACATAAGACAAAAACAATGACAGCTTTTCTTTTCTTTTTTAAATATATTTTATTGATTTCAGAGAGGAAGGGAGAGGGGAAGAGAGATAGAAACATCAATGATGAGAGAGGGTCATTGATCAGCTGCCTCCTGCGTGTCCCACACTGGGGATTGAGCCTGCAACCCTGAGGCATGTGCCCTCCCGGTTCATAGGTCAACACTCAGCCACTGAGCCACTCCAGCCGGGTGAGAATGACAGTTTCTCTTTGATGATAACCTTCTGGGACATGGCACCAATTTCTGAAGTCTTAGGAATTTTCCCAGGTCTTTTTTTTTTTTAATATGTATTTTTATTGGTTTCAGAGCAGAAGGGAGAGGGAGAGAGAGATAGAAACATCACTGATGAGAGCGAATCATTGATCGGCTGCCTCCTACAGGTCCCCTACTGGGGATAGAGCCTGCAACCGGGGCAAGTGCCCTTGACCAGAATCGAATCCGGGACCCTTCAGTCCATAGTCTGATGCTCTATCCACTGACCGAAACCAGCCAGGGCTTTCCCAGGTCTTTTTTTTTTAATTTTTTTTATATTTTATTAATTTTTTACAGAGAGGAAGGGAGAAGGAGAGGGATAGAGAGTTGGAAACATCGATGAGAGAGAAACATCGATTCAGCTGCCTCCTGCACACTCCCTACTGGGGATGTGCCCGCAACCAAGGTACATGCCCTTGACCAGAATCGAACCCGGGACCCTTCAGTCCGCAGACCGACGCTCTATCCACTGGCCCAAACCGGTCAGGGCTCCCAGGTCTTTTTGATCAAGGAGAGATTCTATTAGAAAATAGAAGTTGGTAACAGAAGTATTCGTACATGTCTTTATATTGTACACAAAAACAGACTGATCATCCTTTAAATGTTCTCGATTCAACACCTTTTCAAATCAGAATCTTTGAATAACTTACAGACATTGAAAGAGAAGGGACCTGCCTCCATCTCTCCTGGAAACTCCTTTTATTCATTACAAAGATTCGCCTTTTTATGGCCGGGCCCTGCGCTTTCCATTTTTTTGCACTCTAAGCAAAGAGCAGGCCTGGAGATTTCGGTTTTACTGGCTGAAAATGGGTGAGGAATGACAGGAGTTTACGTAGTAACAGTGAATTAAGGAGCATGTGGTATTCATCATCCTTAGTGCTGTGTTCCTATTGTATAGTGCGAGACGGTGTGGTTGTTGTTGCTTATACTTTGTAAAGTCTACTCCCTTTCCCTTGTACATATATTAACTCATTTAAGCCTCATAGCAACCTGGGGAGAAGGTACCATTATTATTCCGTCTTTATAGAGGAGGAAACAGAGGCCCAGAGAGGTTCAGCCACATGCTCAAGGTCACACAGCTCCTAAGTGGCAGAGCTGGGATTTGAACCCAAGTCATACTGGCTGCAGAGCCCTTGCTCTTCACTACTAAGCAGGACTGATTGTCTAGGACAGCGATGGCGAACCTTTTGAGCTCAGTGTGTCAGCATTTTGAAAAACCCTAACTTAACTCTGGTGCCGTGTCACATATAGAAATTTTTTTATCTTTGCAACCATAGTAAAACAAAGACTTATATTTTTGATATTTATTTTATATATTTAAATGCCATTTAACAAAGAAAAAAAATGAGTTCGCGTGTCACCTCTGACACGCGTGTCATAGGTTGGCCATCACTGGTCTAGGAAATGTTTGTGGAACGAACGAGTCAACTCCATGTGTCAGCCTGAGTGTATGGAACACGTGCACGTATCTGTCCTTGTATATCCGTGGGCGTATATGGGTGTTGTTGTTGGTGCCTGTGTGCACCGAGAGTGTGTGCATGTGTACTGTGTATGCTTGTGCTTTTCAAAGGGGATGGGTGGCTTTGGTGCAGCCTAAACGGGGATGTTTCCAGCCCAGAAGGGGTTTGGTAAGGGTGGGAAAGGATCATAGCTTCTCTAAGAGCTGGCAGGAGGACCATCCACATTCTGTCCTGGACGGCGTCATGCAAATGAGATGCAAATGAGGGCCTGGTCCTCCGCCACAGACCATTTCTCCAGAAGCCAGTTTGCTCAGGAACATTTGGATTGTCTCTACAGCTAGAGACTGCGGGGAGGGGAGGCGCGGGGGACGTGAGAAGGATGTATTTATAAAGCCATTCCCTGGAACGTCTATGAATAGAATCTTCATAACTAAAATCTTACTCGTTAAAATAGATCCCTATCAATTCTTCATATTTGGTAACATAGGGATGTTAAATATATATTCTTCATGAATTCCTTTTAATGAATGCTTATGAATACATATCTATAAAGAGGGTATTTCATTTTTATACCTTTTACTTTCCCCGTCCCTGCCCCTCAGTTCCCCACCCGCCTCGGCCTCCTCTCTCTACCCAAGCTGTACTAAATGCCAACTCTTTTTTCTGTCTTTCCTTCCACAGAGGGAGCTGGGGAAGACACACTCAACTTTCTTGTAAATGCTATTATAATAAAAAGCATTCGAGACCAATCAAATCCTTAAATCCAGAAACAAGTAAATGTGGCCAATTATTTCCTGCACGATGCCCTCCTGCCCCCGGTGGGATTGCCTCCTAAGACAGGACATCATCCGAGGGGGCTGCCTGGGCCGGGCCGAGGACCCTCCCTGATTCCCCCTCCCCTTTCTGCCCTGTACCCAGCCGGGTGGAAGAGACCGGAGTGGTGCTGTCCCTGGAGCAAACGGAGCCACGTTCTCGCAGACCCATGCAGCGGGCCACCCCCTCTCAGAAGGACACCCCCAACCCTCGGGCCAGCCTTGGTATGGGGCGGGGCTGGGGCTGGGAGGGGTTGTGTCCCCAGGATGCTTAGGAGAAAGCCCAAGCGCCTTAACACGGTTCACCCCGTGTGGCCTGCCTCCTGCCTCCTTCCTTTCCTTACCTTAAGACAGTGGTTCTCAACCTTCTGGCCCTCATGTTGTGACCCAACCATAAAATTATTTTCGTTGCTACTTCATAACTGTAATGTTGCTACTGTTGCTTTTTAAAAAATATATATTTTATTGATTTTTTACAGAGAGGAAGGGAGAGGGATAGAGAGTTAGAAACATCGAAGAGAGAGAAACATTGATCAGCTGCCTCCTGCACACTCCCCACTGGGGATGTGCCTGCAACCAAGGTACATGCCCTTGACAGGAATCGAACCCAGGACCCTTGAGTCTGCAGGCCGAAGCTCTATCCACTGAGCCAAACCGGTTAGGGCTGTTCCTACTGTTATGAATCGTAATGTAAATATCTGATATGCAGGATGGTCTTAGGCGACCCCTGTGAAAGGGTCGTTCGACCGCCAAAGGGGTCGCGACCCACAGGTTGAGAACCGCTGCCTTAAGACCACACCAGCTCCTGCGGTGCTCTCGTACCAACCTCGCGAGCCCCTTTCATGCCTCAGGGCCTTTGCACACGTCGTTTCCTCTGCCCAGAAAGCTCTCCTCTCTCCTGTCCTCCCTCTTTTCCCGTGGCCCTGGGATGATGGCTTCAGTCTTGTGCTCTCTGCTCTGGAACCTGCCATGGCTCCCCATTGCGCCCACCCTTCACTTCCCGCCTCCCGCTTCACTGCTCTTTGGCTTCCCGTCATCGTGACCCTCCCAAATCTGGTTCCTTTCTACCTCTTCCTTCTCCCCGGCCCACGCCCCCCGCCCCCCAGCCCGAGATGAGCTGCCCTCTCTGTTTATTCTTCAAGGCCTCACCTGCTCCAAGCTGTTGCTGGCAGTCCATGCGCCTGGGTGTGGTGTGGGGTCGACAGTCCCCTTTCCTTTTCTGGCTCAGAACTGGCTCGGGCGACGTCTTGACCTGCAGCGACTTTAGAACCTCTTTGAGGGCCTTGGGCCCGTCTTTTCCCTCCAGAGCCAAGTGGCCGAATGCTGCTCAGTGCTGTTGGAAAATTGGGTCCAGCCATGTCGATTTTAAATATTCGAGTATTTCCCCACCACTGGGCAGTTGCTACTCTCTCGGGCCTCCTGTGTGCCCGCCCCACCCCACGTTGCCCCATGACCAAAGGGAAGGCACCTGGCCCAGCCAGGGTTCCCTAGGGCCCAGCTCCCCAGCGCTGTGAACGGTGTCCACCCTGATTGGTGGTTGAAGATGTCAGCTATGCTCCCTGGGGTTGGCGGGGAGGACTCCGCCCCTCAGCCCTGGGTACCATCCTGTGTCCTCCCCAACTCCATGTGCCCTGCAGACGTCTCCGGTCCCCGGATCCTGGCCTTCCTACACCCCCCTGCCCTGAGCGAGGCCACCCTGGCCGCTGACCCCCGCCGCTTCTGTAGCCCTGATCTCCGTCGCCTCCTGGCACCTATCCTAGATGGGACCTCGGGAGCTGCCACCCCCAGCGCACCCCCAGCCACACGGCGCCCCCCGAGCCCCCTTCCGGTAAGCAGTCCCTAGCACTGGAGCCCTGAGGATCCGGGCTGCTTTGTTCTTTGGCTTGAACCTTGCTGGGCCTCAGTTTCTCCATCTGTGTAGTGGGAAGGTTGGGATGACATGGGTCCCGGGGCTTCCTTAAGACCTAGATTCCAGATTGTTCAACTGTGATCTGGACCAAAACCTGGGTGTGTTGGGATTGGCGTGGGTGGCCCCCTCCTGGCTTGTGACAAAGCACCAGGCTCTCTGAACTCTGACTTCAAGGACTCAAGAACGTCTAATGTCTTAAATTACACGACTCTGCATTCAAACCCTGAATCTGCCACTTACCAGCTGTGTTACCCCGGACAAGTGGGGCCTGTTTCTTCACCTGTAAGGTTTGGATAATGGCAAATAGCCACCTCATTGGTTATTGTGAGGGTTCACGGGAAGACCTTCGTAGGAACCTGACGCCTAGTAGGTGCTCAATAGACTATAGTGGTTGCTGTTTTTACATAAGAGTCCAGATAGTCTGACCTTTGACTCAGGGGTCTGTATTGACTTTCCTCATCCCGACCCTATTCCCCCAAATATCTTCTCTCCACCACAAAACTAGGTTGTGACCTTTTGACCTCACTCTTCATCCTTGGGATAGCAGTACTTCTGCATGGTTACACACACACCCCCACCCCTCGGGCTCTGGTCTTTCAAACCTTTGGTGTTTTTCCTGTTGACCTGTTCCCGACATTCTTTGAACACCCAGGTTCAGACCTCATTTGCATTTGCTATTTGACCCTCTTGGTGTCCAGCTGTTTGAGATTTGACCCTCCCTTCTACTCCTGAGCTCAAATGTCTAGATCAGCCGTTCTCAACCTGTGGGCCGAGACCCCTTTGGCGGTCGAACGACCCTTTCACAGGGGTCGCCTAAGACCATCCTGCCTATCAGATATTTACATGACGATTCATAACAGTAGCAACATGACAGTTATGAAGTAGCAACGGAAATAATTTTATGGTTGGGTCACAACATGAGGAACTGTATTTAAAGGGCCAGAGGGTTGAGAACCACTGCTCTAGACTGTCTTACTGTTGACATCGCCCAGGCTCAAGGGATGTCTCTACTCTGTCTCCTCACAGGCTGATCTCCCAGATGAGCCACCTGTGGACATGGAGAATGCACACAAAGTCTTGGCCTCTGGGAGAGACCTTGAGGCAGTGGAGACAGATCTAGCCATAGGTCAGGTAAGGGCAGGCGTGGGGGCCGACATATCTGGGCTTCAAAGAAAGGTAGTGGGATGGTTGAAGGGATGAGTGGGTGGATAGATGGACAGACCATTGTATTCATTAGGCGGGTGGTGGTGGATAGATGGATGGGTGATGTTTAGACAGATGTTTGGATAAAACCGTGGTTGGCAAACCACAGCTCTCGAGCCACATGCGGCTCTTTGGCCCCTTCAGTGTGGCTCTTCCACAAAATACCACGTGCGGGCACGCACGTACAGTGCGATTGAAACTTCGTGGCCCATGAGCAGAAGTCGGTATTTTGTGGAAGAGCCGGTATTTTGTGGAAGAGTCACACTGAAGGGGCCAAAGAGCCGCATGTGGCTCTCGAGCCGCAGTTTGCTGACCACTGGGAAAGACCTTTGGTTCACTGGATGGATGATGGGTGGAGAATGTTTGAATTATTGAGTGGATAGATCAACAATAGTGGCATGATGTATTAATTATCTACTTCTATATGACAAATTACCCCAAAACTCAGCGCCTTAAAACAACTCACATGTATGATGTCACACAGTTTCTGAGAATCAGGAATCTGGGAGTTGCTTAGCTGGGTGGTTTTTGCTCAGAGTGTCTCATGAGGCTGAAGTCAAGCTCTCAGTCAAGGCTGCAGTCACCTGGGGATATAGAGGATCCACTTCCAAACGCAGGCACATGGTTGTTGGCAGGACTCAGCCCTCACTAGCTCTGGCTGGAGGCCTCATTCCTGACGTGTGGGCCTCTCCATAGGCTGCCTTTGTGTCCTCACACCACGGCAGCTGGATTTCCCCACAGCAAATAATCCAAGACAGGGTGAGCCCAAGACAGAAGATGCTGTCTTTTATAACTTAATCTTAGAAGTGACAAAACAACATTTTTGCTGTAATGTAGACCAACCCTAGTACAATGTGAAAGGCAACCACATTCAAGGGTGAAAACCAAAATACAAGGATCGTCGGGGCTCCATTACAAAGTCACTTCCCATCACAGCATCCGCTTCAATTCCAGAATGTCCTCGCTTAAATCAGGTCTGGTTGCAGGGAAGCTCCTATCTCAGTCTGTTGGCCTGTGAGCTGAAGAGACAAGTTATCTGCCACCCACATACCCAACATACAGCTGTGGGAGAGGCATAGAATAACTGCCCTATGCACTCCCATTCAAACACACAGGTGCCACTGGTCCACAGCAGTTTTGAAATACAGTTAGGCAAATATCGGCAGTTCCTTGATCAGAACTCATTCCTACTACTTGCCAGGAGTTTTTCTTCGTGGTGGTTGGCCCGGCCTTCTGGGCTTTGGGCTCCTCACTGTCGTCATCCTTCCTTTTTCATAAAATGCAACATGTGCTGCAGCTGAGTGGTTTTCATACCTGGCTTCCTGCTGAGGGAACTTTGGTGGTCCAAAGGTCTCTTTTCATTTTGTTCCATTTCAGTCCCTTTCGGTCCAAACTGGCAATGTTTCTACCCATATAATTCTCTTAGACATTTGTCATGGGTCTTATGTGAATTTCTTTGGGAGTTTACACCGTTAAAGTCACACCCACAAATTTCATTGAGATAGAACCTTGTCTACCTTGCATTGCTGCTGAGATGGCTGAGTGACAGAGCCCTGAAGTTGAGTAGAAGCCCTATTGTTTGGGAAAATCTATGAGGTACATCCCTAAACTCTAGAATCTTTTGTCTGAGTCTGAAGGATACTGCTAGGTGCCACCTTTGATCTTTCTGAGGGTTTAAAAGGCATGTTATAGTCACGCCCTGGCTTCATCTTTAGACCATGCTTTTCTGAGAGCGCCTGTCATTGCTCAGAAGCCATTTCTTAATTGCAGCATCATTTGCCATCCGGGGAGTTCCCAGAAGCAGCTAAACCCAAGGTGAAAGACACAGTCCTCCAGACTACCAAGTCTGCCCAAGTTCAGGGGTCCTCAGGGCCACCCTCACTTCACACTATCTGGATTAAAATTCAGAGATTCCCACAGACTCCCTCAAGTTCAATGTTTTTCTAGAACGAGTCATAGAACTTAGGAAAGTGCAATACTTATTATTACAGTTGTATTACAGCCAAAAAAAATATTATAACCAAAGGACGAGATGCATAGGGTGGAACCTAGGACTGGGAGGGTCCAAATGCAAAGGGAGGTGTAACCCTCCTGACATTGAAGTGTGACACTCACACACGGAGTATTGACACTCAAGGAAGCTCACTCAAGCTTTTAAGGTTTTGCAGGCATGACTGGTTGAGTTACTGCCCATGTACTTGAACTTGATCACCATCTCTTCCTCCCCCAAGACACACACTTTCCTTGGAGGTCAGGCTGATTTCACACGGCCCAAACCCCAACCCTCTACTCACATGATTGACCTTTCTGACATAGCCAGCCCTCGCTCACCCTGAGTCATCTTGTTAGCATAAACCAGTGGTCGGCAAACTGCGGCTCTTTGGCCCCTTGAGTGTGGCTCTTCCACAAAATACCACGTGCGGGCGCGCACGTACAGTGCGATTGAAACTTCGTGGCCCATGCGCAGAAGTTGGTTTTCGGCCTGGGCGAGTCTGTTTTGAAGAAGTACTGTTGATATTTGGCTCTGTTGACTAATGAGTTTGCCGACCACTGGCATAAACTATCAGGCATGGCCCAAGGGGCCCACCATGAACAGCAAAGACACGCCTACCACTCAGGAAATTCCATTGGTTTCTATGTTACCTCCCGGGAGCCAGGTCAAAGGCCAAACCTCTTTTTGGGTAAAGTTAATGCTTCAGTATGCAGGGAGATTGAGAATTCTCAAGATTGTCAAGTCCCAGCTCCTTCATGTTTAACCTTTCTTTCTTTCCTTTTTTTAAATCTGTTTTTATTGATTTCAGAGAGGAAGGGAGAGGGAGAGAGAGCTAGAAACATCAATGATGAGAGAGAATCATTGATCGGCTGCCTCCTGCACGCCCCCACTGAGGATCGAGCCTGCAACCCAGGCATGTGCCCTTGACCAGAATCAAACCTGGGTCCCTTCAGTCCACAGGTTGACGCTCTATCCAGCTGAGCCAAACTGGCTAGGGCAATGTTTCTATCTTTGGCTTCTCTCTCCTCTTGCCTTCTACTCCAAGTAGCAAGAAGAAATCAGGCAGCTTCTTTGTCAGTCTGCCTAGAACTCTCCTTAGCTAGATCACCCAGGTCACTAGTTACATTTTTTTTTTTTTGCTTTCCACACAACTGCAGGTGGCAGTGTTGCTAAACTTTCAGCTACTACACATCAAAAATCCCCTCTCCTCTGTTCAAAGAACATGTTCCTCACTTCCCTTTAAGCCAGTGGTTCTCAACCTTCCTAATGCCGTGACCCTTTAATACAGTTCCTCATGTTGTGGTGACCCCCAATTTCATTGTTACAAATTGAACATAATTAAAGCATAGTGATTAATCACAAAAAATATGTAATTATATATGTGTTTTCCGATGGTCTTAGGCGACCCCTGTGAAAGGGTCATTCGACCCCTAAAGGGGTCACGACCCACAGGTTGAGAACCACTGCTTTAAGCCCTCCCTGGCACGCTCCTCTAGATTTAGCTCTTTACTAACATTTTTTCAAGGCAACCTAGGTCTTCTCCCCAGTGTTCTCCAGGCAGTGGGCTTTTGTTACAGCAGTGCTCCACTCTTAGTACCAAAATCTTACCTGTAATCTACTTCTGGATAACAAGTTACCTTATAAGTTAGACATTTTAAAAAGCAATTATGTGCCTGGCCAGTGTGGCTCAGTGATTGAACGTCAGCCTATGAACCAGGAGGTCATGGTTCAATTCCTGGTCAGGGTACATGCCCGGACTGTGGGCTCGATCCCCAGTGGGGGGTGTGCAGGAAGCAGCTGATTGATGATTCTCTCTCATGATTCAAGTTTCTATCTCTTTCTCTCCCTCTCCCTTCCTCTCTGAAACCAATAAATATATATATTTTTAAAAACCAGCAATCATGTATTACTTCACATAATTTCTGAGGGTCAGGAATCTGGAAGGCACTTAGCTCGGTGGCTTTGGCTCAGGTCTCTCACGAGATTGCAGTCAAGAGGTCATCTGGGGTTGCAATCATCTGAAGGCTTGACTAGACTAGACCCGTGGTCGGCAAACTGCAGCTCTCGAGCCACATGCGGCTCTTTGGCCCCTTGAGTGTGGCTCTTCCTAAGCCTTAGGAGTACCCTAATTAAGTTAATAACAGTGTACCTACCTATATAGTTTAAGTTTAAAAAATTTGGCTCTCAAAAGAAATTTCAATCATTGTACTGTTGATATTTGGCTCTGTTGACTAATGAGTTTGCCGACCACTGGACTAGACGATTCATTTCCAAGGTCACTCACTGGCTGTTGGCAAGGGATCTGTTTTTTGCCATGTGAGTCTCTCCATAGGGCTGCTCACGACATGGCTTTCCCCAGAGCAAGTGATCCAAGAAAGAGAGTGCAACAAAAGCCATGGTGTCTTTATAACCTAACTAGAGGCCCAATGCATGAAGATTCATGCAAGAATGGGCCTTCCTTCCCCTGGCTGCCGGCACCACCTTCACTCTGGCCTGAGCCGCCTTTCCACCTTCCCACGATGCCCAGAGGCCAGGAGGGGCTGGGGCAGTGCAGAACGCCTGTGTCATGGGAACGACGCAAGCCTCCCGCCCCAGCCCCGGCCACTCAGCACCTTCGTATGCAAATTAACCCGCCATCTTTGTTGGGTTAATTTGCATACTCACTCCTAATTGGCTGGTGGGTGTTGCAAAGGTACGGTCAATTTGCATCTTTGTCTTTTATTAGTGTAGGTGTTGGAAGTCACACACCATCATCTCGTCAATAACCTATTGTTCCCAGGGCAACCTAGTCACTGTACTAGGGGACTACACGAAGGCATGAGTACCAAGACGAGAGGATCCTCAGGGGCCATGTTGGCGGCTGGTTACCACAGAGTCCTTCTACCCATTTTACAGATGGGAAGCCTGAAGCTCAGAACGCAGGCACACAACTCCGAAGTCGGGGAGCTGGGACACGAGCCCAGGCCCATCCGAGGCCAAGGCTCATGCTTTCACCTCCCTCCTGCCCTCCGCAGGACGGCGATGCCCTGGATTTGGAGATGCTGGCCCCCTACATCTCCATGGATGATGACTTCCAGCTCAACTCCAGTGAGCACCTGCCCAGGCTCTACCACCGACCTCTGGGGGCTGCCCCCCGGCCTCGCGCTCGGAGCTTCCACGGCCTGTCTCCCCCAACTCCTGAGCCCTCCCTGCTGCCCCGCTGGGGGAGTGACCCCCGGCTGAGCTGCTCCAGTCCTTCCAGAAGGGACACCTCCGCCCCATCCATGGCTGGGGCTCGGAAGAGGTGAGCCACAGTAGAGGAGGGATACCAAGGGAGTGTGGAGGGTCCCTGACCCCCTGTCTTGCTCCTGCCTCCTACTCCAGCCTCATTCTCATCATCCCTCCCACACTGACCCTGCCCAGGCCGTACCCACAGTGTGCCCCGCATGGCATGTTTGTCCCAACCTCTATGTCTTTGCCTAGGCCTCGCCCTCCTTCTGGAGTGCACATCACTGTGCTCACCATCTAATCCAGCGGTTCTCAACCTGTGGGTCGCGACCCCTTTGGGGGTCGAACGACCCTTTCACAGGGGTCGCCTAAGACCATCGGAAAACACATATATAAATACATATTGTTTTTGTGATTAATCACTATGCTTTAATTATGTTCAATTTGTAACAATGAAAAGACATCCTGCATATCAGATATTTACATGACGATTCATCACAGTAGCAACATTACAGTGATGAAGTAGCAACGAAAATAATTTTATGGTTGGGGGTCACTACAACATGAGGAACTGTACTAAAGGGTCGCGGCATTAGGAAGGTTGAGAACCACTGGTAATCCAATCCCACCAGTCAGCCAGGCCCCCTCCGTTGGGACATATTTATATCTGGCCTACTGACGGTTTTTGTCATAGTTAAGAGGACTTGCCACAATGTCAGAGACACTGTCTGGAACTAAGTTTCTTTTTTTTTTTTTTAATATATTGTATTGATTTTTTATAGAGAGGAAGGGAGAGGGATAGAAAGTTAGAAACATCGATGAGAGAGAAACATCGATCAGCTGCCTCCTGCACACCTCCTACTGGGGATGTGCCCGCAACCAAGGTACATGCCCTTGACCGGAATCGAACCTGGGACCTTTCAGTCCGTAGGCCGACGCTCTATCCACTGAGCCAAACCGGTTAGGGCTGGAACTAAGTTTCTAATACCTTTGAGAATCTATTGAAAGCTATGGACTCTTTCCCAAGAAAACTGACCTACACATAGAGACACACACTTTGCCTATAATGTCAGATGGTCCATGCCCCTCTTCCAAAGATGTTAGATTCCTAATACGTAAGCTTTTGCTCGCCAACTTGTGGGCACATGCCCATTTAGTCTCCAGAGTGGTCTCTACTGTCCATGTGAAGCTTTTATGCATACATCTCAGTATTCCCCAAGGCTTCCAGCTTGACACTGGGTATACAGTTGGTGCCTAATAAAAACTTGTTAAGCCCAGTCGGCGTAGCTCGGTGGTTTAGCGTCGATCTGTGAACCAGGGAGTCACTGTTCAATTCCCGGTAGGGACATATGCCCAACCGCTCGGTCCCCAGTGTGGGCTCGGTCCCCAGTGTGGGGCGTGCAGGGGGCAGCTAGCTGATCGATGATTCTCTCTCATCATTGATGTTTCTCTCTCTCTCCCTTCCTCTCTGAAATCAATAAAAATATGTTTTTAAAAAAACTTTTTAAAATGAGGAAGGTAGTAAATTAATGAATATAGTAGGTGGAGGGATAGATAGATGATGGATGGATGGTAAGTGGGTGAGTGAGTGGATAGATACGTGAATGAATGAAAGGATAGATAGATGGAGGTTGTATGGGTGGGCGATGGATCATTGGATAGATGAATGGGAAGACAGAGTGGTGGATGGATGGATGAATCAATGGCTGGATGGGTGGAAGGATGGATTGATGGATGGACAGGTGGATGGATGAGTAGATAAATAGGTGCTTGGGGGAGTGAATCAATACTCATCATCTACTCATACCAGTGCCCACACCTGCCCATGTTTGCTGTGTTCTGAGATTCCTGCCTGTTTTCCTCCAGGACCCTGGCCCGGAGCTCAGAGGATGAGGCCGAGGGGGCAGAGCTGCTGGGGGTGAGACCCCCTAAACGGTCCCCAAGCCTAAGACCCGAAAACTTCCTACTGCCTCCTCTCAGCCTGGTATGTGTGGGGATGTGTGGGGTTCTCTGGCCCTCAGAACCCGGCAGGCTTAAGCTTACTCTTCTATGGATGGGAGAACCAGAGGGGACAGGGCTGATAGTCAGATAGAAGGTTGGTAACCCAGCTGGAGCTAGGACCTTGATATTTTAGCTCAGGTAAGGGGTAAGAAAGGGCTTTGGAAATGTATGTAAGTTGGTTGGAAGTACTAAGAAGACATTTAAGCAGGGGAAGGGGGAAATGACAAGGGTCAGTATCTGCTCCTGTGGGCCCCCTTTCAAACCTAGAACAGGTTTGGCCTTGGATGATTCGTGTAGTGTTACGAGTACAGACACTAGAGTCTGACTGGGTTCCGGTCAGCCACCTAGTGACTGAGACCTTGGGCAGGTGATGCCCCCAAACTGAGCCTCAGTTTCGTCATCTGGAAAGTGGGAGAGTTACATCTCACAGGACTGCCCTGAGAAGCAAACGAACCAGGCCCTTCACTGTTCCTCAGCGGGCGACAGATAAACGGGATAGAAAAGCAAAGCAAACTAGAACAGCATCCCTTCCCCTGCGTTCTCCCTGCCTCGTCTTGCCCTGGTTGTCAATTCTGCACAACAGCAACCCTTTCTAAAAACCAGCCGAGACTGTGACTTCCACAAGGCCTCCCCCCAGGACCTTCCATGGTTCCCTATTGCCCACAGAAGAGCTCTCTGGCTCCTCACCCAACAGGGCTGTTTGAACATGAGGGGTGTGATGGATAATACCAATAGCTTATACACTGAGTGGCCAGATTATGATAACCAGCCAGATTATTATGACCACCCCATCAGTACTTCATTGACACTTCCAAAAATACTGAATACTGAAAGCTTCTTAAGCAAATACTCTCAAGGTTTTATTATTATTATTATTATTACTAGAGTCGTGCACCAGTGCGGTCCCTCAGTCTGGCCTGCGCCCTCTCGCATCCAGGACCCCTCAGGGGATGTCAGAGGCTTGGTGCAATTTGGCTTGACCCCCACAGGCCAGGCCAAGGGACCCCAGAATCCGTGCACTGGGCCTCTACTATGCATATAAGATCTTTAGTTAAACTCTTCCTGCCCTCCCCACTACCCTTTTCCATCTAAGATTCATCAGTCTGTTCCATGTTTCCATGCCTGTGCATTGAGCATCTGCCCCCTGGTGGTCGGTGCGTGTCATAGCTACTGGTCGAACAGTAGAACGGTGGCTTAGGCTTTTATATATATAGATTATTTGCATAACTAATTCACTTCACTGTACTGATGGGGTGGTCATAATAATCTGGCCA